AGAGTAAGACTAAACTATTAAACAAAAAAGGCGCTCTCAACACAGTCCAACTCAACTTATTAAGAATCAAAATATAATTTTTATATAATTTTCTATAACAACTCAACTTATTAAGAATTGAAAAAAATTTCATATAATTTATATAACCAACTCATTAAAGACTCGAAAGTTCAATACGTTAATATCAACAAACAAGATGAACCCGAATTCGTTATTGGCTGATTTATTTGATGAATAAAACTCAAGCTTTAATATTAGGAGGAGAATTTCGCTCAACTGATATACTAATTCCAACTATAATGGAAAAAAAGTTGTATATTTCATTACTAGTGTATATCCCGTGCGATGCACGGATGAGCTCATATTTTTTTAACTTATTTTAGACTTTATTTTAAATATAATTCTTTATATTTTATCTCATCTACTATGAAAATAAAATAAATACAAACAATGAAAAATATGAATTATTATATCTTAAAATACCCGATTAGATAACTTGGATAAATTTTCGAGTTGAGTTTGTATACAAAAAAACTCACTCCATACTCAAAGTTTAACTAAACTTTAACACAACTTCACTATAATAAATATTATCAATATAATTAAATAATATCAACAAATCATTCTTAAACATCACTTAATTTTAATTTATTATTCATCCACTCGCATAATTTTAGCTAACTCTCACTTCAAATATTCTCTCTCTTATTTTCAAATCAATTTTAATTATTTTATATTAATTATTATTTTAATATAAATCAAAATCTCACTAAAAACTAACCATAAGACTTTTTTTTTTTAAAAAAATAACTATAACTAACAAAAATAACTCCATTTTTGAGTGAAAATATTTGTATACAAACATGGTCTTCATGGTCGGGAACCTCAATTAAATTAGGAAATAAGACCCGTGTTTAGATAATTTATCGTTATCTTAATTGAATGCTCACAAATACTAACGATATCAAATTTGAGGAATGCTCAAATTTGTTTGAAAATAAGATCTCAATTAAATAAGAGGAAATAAGACAATCCTTTATAAAATTGTTTGAATTACAAATAATATGATTAAAATACCCGATAGTGGAGATTCTTAAAACCACTTATATTTGCTATTTTTGATATCGTTATCTTAATTGATGATATATATAATCGGATTCCTAAAGATTCAATTGTGAAAATACTTGAGCATTCCTTTTTTTTTTTCGGTTTTTTCAAATCAAAAGGAACTGAAATTTATCCAATATGAAAGGAATATCATCCAAAATAAGGAAAATATGTATGAAAAAATTTCAAATAAAATTTTAGGGGGAAAAAAAAGATTTGAGCGGCAAAGTGAAAATATTTTTCAAACATTTTTTCTTCTCTCTATTATATAGTAATAGATTTCTTTGAAGCCTTATCAATAATAAGTTTCTATGAAGTACGACTTTTCATGACTACAGATATTTAGCAAGATTCTATTGTGCCATAATAACCATTCAGAAAGCAAAAAATCGAGTCAAATGTTTCAGCTAACTATTTCTAGAACACTTTACGACTGGTGCATCCCTATTTGTGGTTATCTCATTATTTTATTTTATATTCTGAATTTATATAAAAAAATTCCTGATTTACCCAAATTACGTAAATTGAAAGGAATAATATAACATACGCTTTTATCCTAGATATAAAAAGTAGACTGTGTAAACAAACTTTGACTGAATGTTTGGATCAGGAGTTAGGATTTTGGAGTTTATGCTTTTTCTTGTTTAATAAATTCCCTTTGATCACACAAGAATACCTTTTACTACTATTATTTTATTAAATTACAAATTATATTTTATTATATAACGATACGATAAGATTATCATACGTGTTACTCATTTTATTTAATATAACACGAAATGATTCATAGAAAAATATAATGGATCTTGAATCCATGATCACATATACAACTCTTAAATGAATTGATGAACGGTCAAATCGATTTGGCTCGTAAAATTTCGTGCTCGATTAATTCGTTTCGCTAAACAAGTTGACTTGAGCTTGTTCTACACGTTTTTTATATTTTTTTTAATGAATTTTAAATTGAATTATGGAGACAAACTTGTTCACGAGAACATTATTTTATATTCGTGAAGAACTTATTTAAGGATTTAGGTTTATCAAACGACCAAAGTTGAGTTGAGTGTTCACGAGTTTAAATGAGTCGGGTTCCAACCGAGCCTTAGACTCGTTTATTAAACTAACACCCTTATTCACGAAATTCCAATTATAACCCAAGAAATGAAGGGAATAAAGGGTAATTAGTTTCATATTAGCTTCACTCTCTTTTAGAATTTTCTGTGTTTAATTTAAAGTTATGATTGGAACATTTTAAAGAAAGGGCAAAAGGAATATTAATCTTTGTATCTAATGACCAACTCAGAGATAAGAGAGAACTAGCAATTTTATTCTCCAAAGGAATATTTACTCCAAATTAAATTCTAATTATTCTTTTGTCATCGCCACAATAATGACAGCCAAAAGAATGATCGAATTGCTTTGTCTTGGCTGTGGAGAAAATTCTTTGAATAATCAAAGATTTACGTAATTATGATGGATTCAAACATTTAATTTCTTAAAATTTGTTTTTGTTTGGACCCTATTTCACTGGAAAATGTTTGAACTCAATATAATAATCAGCATATTCTTATAAGATTAGTATTTTATGCAGCAATATTTGATTAATATTGTTTACAAAATTTTGTTTGAGCCGGCCTATCCGTTTATAAGGTCGATCTATCATAAATCTTGTAACGAAAATACATATTTATATTATAAAATGTCATAGTTTATATT